TTACTAGAATACAGGTTCTTGAAGTAGGTATTGGTCCTCTGCATTTCTGCAGGATCTGTTGTGGATTTCACCCTTTCATTCCTACTTGCATAGATTTGAGCCTTCCTTTCTTTTTTCTTTCTTTCTTTTTGATAAGGTTAACTAAAGTTTTGTTAGTTTTATTTAATCTTTCAGAGAACTAATTCTTCAGTTCATCATTTCTTTCCATTGTTTTCGTAAGTTTCCATTGCATTAATTTCTGGATATTTATGATTTCCTCGTATAAGCTGTGGACTTGACTTGCTGTTCTTTTTTAGAAGCTTGAGGTTTAATGTTATGTTGTTTATTTTAGCTTGCTCTGTTTTTCTGATATGTTAATTTACTTCTATACATTTCCCTCATAGGACTGCTTTCATTGCATCCTCTAAGTTCTGGTGTGTTGTATTGGCATTATTGTTTAATTATAGAAACTAATTTCTTCTTTAATTTCATGTGTGACCTTTTGGTTGTTCAGGAGGTTGTTATTTAATTTCCATGTGTTTATTAAAGTCTTGTGGTTTCCTTTGCCATTGATTTCTGGTTTCATGGCACTATGGTCCGATAATGTACAGGGGATGATTTTAATTCTTTTGCATTTACTTATGCACGCTCTATGAGCTACTTTGTGGTCTAATTTTGAGAAAGTCCCATGTGCAGCTGAGAAGAGTGTATAGTCTAATGTTGTGGGGTGGAACACTGTAGACAGCTACTAAATCCATCTGTTCAAAATTGTTCAGTTCTGATATTTCTTTGTTGATTTTTTCAGTTGATCTGTCTATGGCATGGGGTACTGAGCTCTTCCATTAGAATTTTAGTAGTGCTTATTTGATTTTTCGTGTCTGTTAATACTTTATATAATTAGGTGCACTGGTATTTGGTGCATATATATTTATCATTATTATCTCTTCCTCTTGGATTGTTCCCTGTATAAGGATATAGTGACCTTCTTTGTCTCTCTGAATCAGTCTTGGCTTGAAATCCACTTTGTCTGCAAGTAAAATAGCTATCCTGCTTTTTTTCCTGGTTCCTGTCTAATGGAGTATTGTTTTCCATCCTTTGACTTTCAGTCTATTAATTTCTTTTTTAATTAAATGTGGTTTTTATATGTAGCCTGTTGTTTGATCTTGCTTCTTAATCCATTCTTCTGGTCTGTTTGGTATTGGTGAATTGAAACCATTTACATTGATGATTATTAATGTTATTTATTGTCATGTTATTTTCCTCTTGTTGGTTCCTTCTCAGTTTAATTGCTTGCCCTGCTTGGTGGGTTCATTGTGTTAGGATTCATGGAGTTGCAGTTCTTGTTATGTTCTACAATGTCCTTCCAAACATTTTGGAGTGCTAGTTTGATGGTCATGAATTTCTTCAGGTGTTCTTTGTCATGGAAGTGTCTTATTTTTTCATCAATTTTGAAAGATAGTTTTGAGAAATACATCAGTCTTGGCTTGGGGTTCTTTTAGGGCTTGAAATAGTTTACTCAAAGCTATCCTTGACTTGAGGGTTTACATTGAGAAGTCTACTTTGATTCTGATGGGCTTTCCCTTATAAGTGATTTGTTTCTTTTCTCTAACAGCTATTAATATCCTATTCTTGTGTTGAATTTCTGGAATCTTGATTATTATATGCCTTGGTGTAGATTTTATTTTTTGGATCATGGCTAATTGGCATTCTATGTGCCACACTTATGTGTATGTTAAATTCATTTTGCATGCTTGGAAAGTTTTCTGCCATTACTTCTATGAATAGATTTTTTTATGTCCTTTATGCTATCTTCTGATTTTTTATTGACTCCAATCAATCTTATGTTATTCTTCTTTGCATCATCTAGCAGCTATTGGATTGGTTTTTCATGCTTCCTTGCTATTTTTAAGAAATCTTTCTTATCATGATCACTAATTGCAATCCTGAATTGCATGTCTGGTAGTCTGTCCTCACATTGACTTTTCTGCTGTATATACTTTCAATGGAATTTTTAATATCCTGGATATCTGTGAATGTTTCATATAGAAGCCATTTCTTTTTGGTGTTGGATTTAATGGTTTCCATTGTCTTCCTAAGATCTTCTATTTTTTTTATCTGTATCTTTTCTAGACTCACTAACCAAGCCTTAGAGTCACTAACCAAGTCAGAAATTATTTCTGATTTGATTTTTCTAGATTCCCCCTTCATCTGCTTTGTTCTGCTGGTACTTCTTCAGAGAGTCCAGATGGGTGACTTGAATTGTTCCATCTCATTGCCCCTGGGGTTTGCCTTTGGTGAGGTAAAAGTCTGAGCTTGCATCTTGCTTAAGTATCTTCTCATTTTCTTTTTCTTTTTTTTTAGTTCTTGGGTTGATGCCTGTAAATTGCTTATAGCAAGTAGCTTTATTGCTAGTATTTAGAACCCTTAGGAAATAACTGCTTCTCAGAGATGGCTTCCAATTGTAGTTGGTTTTTGGGTCTGTTGCAAGATCCTATCCCTTCAATTTATTGCAGATAAGAACTTGTTACCTATTTGGCCTAACCGCTGGTTCTTTGGGACTGGCCTATAGTATTTTTGATCCTTGTGCAATCTCAGTCTTGGCAAACCAGGAAGAAGTGATTAGAACAGTTATATCACCTTGGTTAAAGTAGTACAATCAGCAGTAACAATAGCATCAAACAGCCTAGAAAAATGACAAACTGTGGTAACTATTAATTTGCTACCTTTAACTGTTCGAACTATATTTCTGGTTATAAAACAAAATCTAAAACAAATCAGAAAATTACATACAGTAAATATGCCCTCAATACGGTAGTTTTACCCTCAGACCAGAAAATTTGAAAGGGGTTTGGAGAAAAATGAAGAAGAGATTAGAAGCAAGACTGCAGGACAAAGGAAGATTATGCAAAGATTATGGAAACTGGTGAAGAAAACAGAAGGGAAGGAATGAGCAAGAAACAAACAAATGCAGAACAGAACAAAAAAACTAGCAATAGTGTTCAATTTCATATAAAGATAAGAACAAACAAGAAAAAAGAAAAGGAAAATAAAAGAAGAAAAATGTCCCCTGCAAAGTGTGTCTGCTGTCACTGGTAGGCACATTGGGCAGAGAGCCCAGATCAAAGTTGATTAATCCTAGCAAGCTAGCCATAGATTTAGAGTGGAGTAGAGGATAATCCCAGCAAACTTGCTGCTTTAATTCCACTGAAGTTCATGCTTTTTTTCTTTCTGTGAGGTTATAACCCAATTTGTTTAACCTTCAACACTCTGTCCCTCCTGCCGGCTTGAACTCCACTCCTTGCTGGATTGAACTGGGCTTCTTGATCTCCTGCCAACTTGAACTCAGTTCCCCCTCACCCTGATGGAGCCAGCCCACAGTTGCTCTGTGTTCCAAGCTTAGTTGGCCTTCTCCAAGATGGCTGCTGGCCAGTTACCCTCTCCCAGGGGATGTCTGAACCCAAATAACTCACAAGTAACTGCAATCCTCTGCATCTATTACTTTGTTCCACTGGTGCATTTGTCTGTGAAGGCCTCTGGAGTCACCAGTAGTCACCCTGAGTCTGCAGGTTCGGGTTGCCCTTCCCACGCAGTGAGTCATGATCAGGGAAATAGCATTTGCCACCTCCTTCTTTATTGAAGCTTTTGTTTGCCCTCCCTGTGGGCTTCAATTCTTCAGTCCTGCTCAAGAAATTTGTTTTTAATCTTGAGATCTCTCCTCTTTTCTTTCTCTTTCCACTCTGTCCCACCCATAAGCCCAGATCTCTTTTTAAAACACTGTTAATGTAAATGTAGAAGTGTAGATATGCTCGTCCTGTTACCCAAAGATAGTCTCTATTAGACAGCACAAACACTGCCTGACCCATGCATATGTCAAGGGAAAAAAAAGTGTGTGTGTGTGTGTGTGTGTTGTGTGTGAAGGGAGTGGGAGAGAAAGAATTTGAAATAGAGGAGGGTCTAAAGTGAAAAGTACTCTGACTGATCACACCTTGTCCTTTTCTCCTAAAGATTTATTGCTTATATCCTGTACTTTTGAAGATAATTTACCCATAACCCAGAATATAAGTAGTCACTTAAACCCACATAGGCAGTGATGTGCATACATTTTTGCTTTTTAAATGTGTGTACTTTTTTGCTTTCTTTTTCATACATGCTTTGAAGATCTTCAGACATAACATCTACTTCATTTTTTTTTTAACAGCTATGATTTTTCATTGGGGAGTTTTTTTTCATTAGTCTTAATGACATTGTTGAGCAGCACTTGGATATTTGACAGCACAGTGATAGTTTCTGCCACTTTTACCGATAATAAACTTTAGCATCAAGCTGCAAAAAGAGGGGCAAGGCATTGTGTACTATTTCATTAGGCAAATAAATTCTTCATGTGTCAGCAGCATGTCTGTTCCTTAAACTATTGGCTGCAGAGTGGAAGTATCTGGGAGATGACTGTCTTCAGCTTGATTTTGGTGCCACATTTTAAGGAAAACTGATATTAACTATATCCAGGAAAATGTAGGTAGAACACTGTAACTATACAGGGTGTATAAATTTTGTGTATAAGAGTAGCTTCTCTCCACCCACACACACAAAAAAATCAAAACAAAATTACAATGACTTCGAAGAATTTTTTTTGTTTATGCAGCACTGGGGAGTGAACTGAGGACCTTGCACTTGCGAGGCAGTACAGTAACACTGAGCTAAATCCCCAGCCCTATTTGGAAGAATTTTTAAAGACTTAGGAAAAGTGATGCTTTGTAGAGTAAAGAATAGGTTGATTCCTTGATGTTCCCAAGGATAAAACTGGAGCCAACAGATGAAGTTAGGAAGATTACTCTCACAATGGAGAATATTTATTTAGCAACTTGAGAGCTTCTTAAATCCAGCATAAACCATATGATATCTTTGAAGAATATAACAAAAGTTTCTATAATTAGTGATTGGTCTGGGGAATCTCTGCAGTCCCTTCTCATATCTGGATTTAAGTATGTATGTCAAATTGAATATTCCTTTTTCTTTTCAAATAGGACACTGATGAAATTCAAGTTAACTATCCTGGAATGTTTGAATTGATGGAAGATTTACAAGGTAAGACATTTCAAAGAATTTTTAGACTTCACTTGAGACACATTTTGTGAGTTCACCCTTTGCAGAAAGAGGGTGAGCTCTAGGGAAACCATTGGTAAAGAGAAAGTAGTTTTCATGGAACTTAACAATATAAAGTGACAAAGGGTAGCATCAGGCAGCTGTCACAGTGTTAAATTAGAAATTAATCAAGACTGTGATGTAGAAGCCACGTAGTGCTATGGCTGCTTCTAGAAGGATGGCAGGAGTGCTGAAAAGTATGTTTAAGGGTGGTAGAACACACTAGTGATTTCTTCCAGCGACATCTCAGGTCCAGGTACAAAAAGGCAGGTAGTTGGGTGAATTTAAGTTTTCTCAGGAAGATAAATCCTGGTCAGAGAGACTCGAAGAAGTCTTGTTTAAGAAAGAGGCAATGAAGCTGTTCTGTAAAAAAATGAAGATGAGTTAATTGGATAGAAATAGTAGAGAAGTGCGTCCCAGGCTAGGAGAAGAGCATATTACAAAGGCCCTGTTGCAAGAAAGAATATGGCAGGAACTGAAGAAGGGCATTTTGGCTAGAGTATAGGGAGTAGAAGGAGGGTGTTAAATGATGAAAGTGGATAAATGGGAGTCAAATCATGCAGCAGGAGTGTTTAGGCCTTGTTAAAGTTAAATACTACATTTAAAAACCTTTTCAACATTTTAATAGGGAGAAAGAGAAGAGGTCACTGTCAGATTTATGTTTTAGAAAAAATGAATTGGCAGATAAATGTGTGTGTGTGTGTGTGTGTGTGTGTGTGTGTGTGTGTTTGCACGTGCGCACATGTACCACAAAATAGTGTTGGTTTGGATTAAAGTAATGGCACTGGTTATATAGAGAAGAAACTGCATTCCCAAGATATTTAGAAAGGAAATTTGAGTTCTTGCTAGTGGATTAGATGCAAGTGGATAAAGAAAGAAATATTTCAAACATGACTGCTGAGTTTCTAGCCTCTAATTAGATAAATGATCCCCGTCCTAGACAGGAAACAGTAGAAGATGACCAAATGATGGTGTGCGAGGATAGCTCTTGTGTTCACATTCCAATATATCTGCTGTGAAGTGCTTTTGAAATAGGAGATGTCAAATAGGCATTTGGGTATATGAATAGGTAGCTTAGAGGAGGCCTCAGGCTTGTTAAAAATTGTCAGTGGGCAATTTTTTTTTTTTTTTCAGGTGTTGCACACCTGAAATCCCAGCACTCAGGAGAGTCAGGCAGGAGATTTGCCATGGGTTTGAGGCCATCCTGGGCTACATAAAGCATTCAAGTCCAGCCTAAACTATGTAGTGAGACCTTGTCTAAAAAAAAAAGTTGTGTTATTTGAAAATAGGCAATGTTGGGAGGGCAGAAACAAGGGGGAAAAATGAGAACCAAGACCTGTCGGGTAAAGATACAAGATCCCAATAATATGTAACTTTACTGTATACCTAAAATGTACCAATAAACTCAATGAGGGAAAAAAACAGAAGAAAATAGGCAATATTCAAAGCAGTTGCCCTGGGCAAAAATGTAGAATGGAAAGAAAATGGAATTGACCCTGTTGAAGCCTACCTTGTAGTAGCTGGCTAAAAGGATAATTAGTCTGCAGAGACTGAGAAGGAATATCCAGCAGAATATTCAGTAGAAGCACCAGAAAAGTGAAGAATTGCCTGAACCAAGGGAAAGAGGGTTTCCAAATGAAGGTAGCATTCAGCAACATCAAAAGCAAAGTAGACTGAATAAAAAATCTAGTTTGAGGAACAAGGTTATGGATGACCTTGAGATCTGTGTTTGAGTGAGAGGACTGGAAGTATTGGGAGTGGATTGAGGTGTAAGTGGAAGGTAAGGAACTGGATATAGCAAATACCTACTATTCTCTCAGGAAGTTTAGATGTAAAGAAAAGGTGAAAGATGAAAAGGTTACTAGTATCAGGAGAGGGATAGGAAATGAGTTTTTTAAATTTGGTTTTTCTTAAAACTTAAATATTTAACTGCTGAGTGAAAGAGTCCCAGTGCTTCCAAAGAAGAAAAGAAATGATGTCAAGTTCCTGAGTAGGATATGGAGATGAGACACAAAGGTCAGAGAGTGTTGTTGACTTTTGATAAGGAAAGGGGCAGATTTATAGTGAGATGGGTCGAGGGGTGGTCCTAATGGGCAATAGGTGTTTAAGTGCGATAGCAGAAGAAACCATGTCATGGGGCTATTTTCTTTGTCAAATAGAAGTGCCATATGTTGAGAATGAAAAGGTCAGAGGTTCAAGAATTGTGTGGAAGCAATTTGAAATAGTCATTGTAGAGAATGAGAAGGTGAATTGACCAGGGAAAAGTTACAGTTGGAAGTGTATGTTTGAAGTTGGTCAAGCACATCAACAATAGTTGACAACTTGGTATTATGAACAAGCAGATATTTGAATTAGTTTGAGTTTGAGTTCTGCTAGTTGAGAGTGACAAAAGGACAAAAGCAAAACAAGACTCCAATTGTATAATTAAAATAATAGCTGAAGAATCTAAGCTAGGAGGGGAGTACACTGATAGATTGAGAGAAAGCAGCTGTGCTGGGCAACCCCTGGAACATCAGAGAAAAGTCATGGTTTAGTACAGTGCTGCAAGATCAGGAGGGGATGGACTGAAGATGGGGTGTTTGACTGGACGTAAATCAGTACACACAATACCTGGGTCAGGGACATGTCTCTGGTACTGAGGCAGAGGTGGAGTGGTGAGATTCATTAGATATGAGTAAATAAAAACATTTTAAAACTTGAGGAACGTGAAGGTGATTAATGGTGAGGTCACCCAGGTTGGAGGCAGGACAGGAGGTACAGAGGAGCCAGTGGCAGCATGCTAGATGAAGCAGGGAGTGCCTCGCCTGAGGGCTGACTGTGAAAGGTGCAGACCTCAGCAGGGCCAGGGTTTTAATAGAGCTGGGAGAAGGGTGGCCTGGAAGAGGCTTTGAGGCACAGTGGGGACAGAGATCCTTTTCTCCACTCCAGAAAGGCAAAAATAAACACCTCTTGAGAGGGCTGCTGAAGAAGTAATTTCCTCAAAGACCTTCAGCCAACCTTCTTTGTGAGTGTGAGGTCCTTTTATTATTTTTTCTTTTTCACTAATGACAGTTTTGGTTGGTGGGAGAAACTAAGGAAGTTAAAACTGCTCTGTGAAACCAAAATTACCCATACCAAGAGAAGTCTTCATCTGTATTCTGAAAAAAATGATTGATGATTTAAAACAAGAGTTTTAGAGCTGGATGTGGTGGTGGTACATGCCTGTAATTCCAGGAAGCAGGAGAATTGCTGAGAGTTGGAGGCCAGCCTGGGTTCAAAGCCATCCTGAACTACATAGCAAGACCCTGTCTTTAAAAACAAATTTTTAAAAAATAACTACCTGGACTTTATTTACAGATTTGTAGTTTTTAATATAAGCATTATTACTTTTGTTTCTTTCGTTTCTCTTGATTTCTGTATTTCTCTTCTCCCTATGTTACAAGTGAGAACAATTTCAGGCCCAAAGAGAACACTTGACCATGACAGAATTAGATGCAACTCAACCATGCCTTTTGATCACAAGGTCCATTTCACCTGTTGTTCAGTCTCCTCTGCACATGGAGCTTTTGTCAGCTTTTCAAGTGGAACTAGGCATAGCTGAAAACTTATCATTATAGTCATTTTTCCTAATAAAATATGGTGCTGATAGCCTGTCGTGTATGCAAGACAACAAAAGATCGATTAAAAAGATGACACAACCCACTTTCTGATCTCTGCCCCAAACACTAAGCTCATCCAGTTATAATCATAGAGCGTCTTTCTTTTAAGGTTCCAGGCATAGTAGTGAGCTGATTTTTTCTCATTTAGGCTCCAGTGATTAAAAATAAAAATTGTTCTTCAAATACTGCCTTTATTTTTGTTCTGCTCTATAATAAATGCTGTGCTCATGATTCATCTCAAGAACAAAAAGAGAGACTGGAAATCAGACCTATCATTTGGAAAAGGTTACTGCCCACTGTATTTAAAAATACAGTACCTTATGCTCCGTACAACAGTTCTTTGAGTTTTTAATTTTAATTTTAATTTTACAGGTGAGCAGATTTAAGCATCAAGAAATATTCTGTCTGTGGTGACAGTAAATCTGGAGTTATACTTTGAATCCAGAGACCTATGCCACATACTTTATAATATGTGGATTTTTAAACATTTGAAGTTAGAATGTGTTTAATAATGTGCCCTAGTCTTAAAGGCACCCAGGCAAGTTATAGAACTCCTCTAGTTCCCCAGGAAGTTTCCCTGGGCCCCTTCCCACTTGGTAACTAACCATGCTGTCTTTCCCTTGAGAATTTGAGAGTTTTAAATAGTTCTTTGGAAGAACTAGTTATTTGGAGGAACTATTCCTAATATATACCTTTTTTTTGTTGGTACCAGGGGTATTGAACTCGGGCCCTTCTGCTTGCGAGGCGGATGACAGAACCACTGAGCTAAATCCCTGGCCCTCCTAATATATACCTTTAAGAAACTTCACCAGTTCTCTTATATTCTCTTATGTATATATTATATATATATATATTTTTTTTTTCTCTGATAGGGCCTTTTATAGAAATCATGCACTTTAGTCTTTAGTGTCTCTCATTTGTAGGAGGATTAAGAGGAATTACCTAAAGATAACTTGTAAAAGTGATACTTAACAAGCTAGATAGAAATACTAACTGGTTGATTTTTATATTCATTCACTTACCATTTACTGAGTGTCTATCATATGGCACCACTGAGCCAGTGGTAGAAATACATAGTTCTATATCTCAAGGTGCTGGTATTCTAGAAGGAGACCCACAGATATAGACAGATAATCCTTCAACTGTAAAGTGAGAGAAACAGAAGAAAGCTCCCAAATCTGTTCAGGGTGTCAGGAAACTTTCTTAGAACAAGTAGCACCTAAGCTAAAATGAATTAGCGAGAAGATTGAAGAGGGTGGGGACAGATTTTGGGGAGCTGAACTTTGTATTCTGTGCAGAAGACACAGTCTACATAAAATTACGGAGGCATCAGTATAGTATATACCTGTCCCTCACTGTCTTGATGCAAGAACTGTACCGTATCATTATGTAGCATGGGGAGAGATGAGAAGTGATAGAGAATAAGACATGAGTCTTATTGTAATGTCTTGAAATAATTTTTCATGGGGGAGAAATAGTCACATTTGTATATTAGAAAGCTCACGCTCCAGCATTATTTGTAAGGCATAGTTTATAAAGGTTAGACCACAGGTAGCTTGGGTAATGTTATGTTTGAGAAAACTGGGGCACAGAGAAAAGAAACTTACCCATGGTGGTATAGTCAGTAAGTAGTACAGGCAGCCTTATTCGTATTATCATACCTCGAGCAATGCACTGTGGAAACAGCCAGAGAGAGGGGTGGGAAGTACAGTTTTGGGGGACCGAAAGAACTTGTGAGGATCCAGATGTGCTGCTTCGCTACTGGAAGATGGTGTTTCTTCCGGTTGGTATTTTATCTTTGTGCCACTTTTTCCTGAGTGGTTGTGGTATATCATTTAAGGTGCCATTATTATTAATTCACAGAAAAAAAGTACAGAATGTTGACCTAATTTTACAAAACACGTTGCTTGTCAGCTGATGAATACATGAGAAATTTTCAAGGCTTTCACAGTGATTTTAAGGTAAGTTCAGGTTTTTTTAGGTCAGAGGCATTTTAAAATGTCTAGTACATCAGGTACTTATTTTCATTAACATTAAATCTGATTTCCACCGGTGTTATCCATCTCTAATATAAGATGTGTTGTGCAAGCCCAGGACAATGGGAACTTGAGCAGTAACAAAACCACCGAGTCCTCCATCAGTAGTGGACTATTCTTACATGAGACTCAGTTTACTTTTGGTCACTGTGCAGCTAATAGTCACTGTGCAAGAGAATGTTTTAAATTAGATTAGGCAACAGGTCTAGAATAGCACCAGAAGCTTGTAGGGTTCATCTAGTCTTGCTCTGTTGAAGGCAGAGAGCAGTGGTGGTGAACCTTTGGCACATGTACCACAGTGGGCTGTTTGTATTATTGAAAGCTCTAAAAGGTTCGCCTCCACTGGTCTAATTTTTTATTGTTTTTAATAAAACTATTAGAAATTTGGTAGATTATTTTAAAATTTGAATACTGAGATTCTAAGAGGAGAGGTTTGTTTCTTGATCTGTGAAAGCAGAAAAACAAAAGTAAAACCGATACTTAATCATGTAGTAAAGTTTAATAAAAAAATATATAAAGCACTTATTCTTGAAGTTCTTCATTTCACAGACTGATTTAAAATGTGGCCTTTCAAAGTAATTCTAACTATGTGCAAAAAGAAAAATCAAGTATATAAGTATACAACATTAATTTTTAATAAGCAATAGAATAATGTCCTAGCTTTTTTTTTTTCTGGTATTGGGAATTGAACTCAGGACTTTGTGCTTCCCAGGCAGGCACGACACCACTGAGCTACACCCCTGGTCCTTTGACCTACCTTTTAATCATAAACTTTAAAGAAGTCTAAAATTAAATTGTAAAATACTGGAAATACTTTTAAAAATGCACATAATTTTTACTTAATTTGGGGTTGTAAAATCACATACTAGCTTTGATTTTGTCTAGTGAGTTTCATAGCCTTCTCTTTCAAGTTTTACAGTCATATTTTTGTCTTTAAAGGGATGAGGCATTGTACCATTGTTCTGTCCTCTTTTGAAAAACAGAATTAAAAGGGACGTAAGATGTGTTATGCTTAGAAAGGTGCTTGTCAATACTTAATGACTCATGTGGAGGGGGTCAGTCTTTTTGCTTTTACCCAACTGGCTTACTTTAGACTACTACTGGCAAGGAAATCATTGTAGGGCTTCCCTCCTGAGCTTTGACTTCTTCGCCTGTCTTATTATTCAAGAGGTTTCAAGATGTTTTGCTTCAGAAGTACTGAGAAGCTTGGCTGCAATCTGAAAGTGAAATGAGATTTAGGTTGCATTACATGACTGTCAGAGACTGAAGATAGATAACACTGTTAGAGAAAATGTGTTAATCTGTGATTTTTGAGCTGCTCTGAGTGTTTACTGTATTTTTTAAAACTGCCTGTAATATATTTTTAGGTATGGGAGAGAGTAACTGTTCCTGGAATAGAAAAGCCCTGCTGCATCGAGACACGATGCTGGCAGCTGCAGCAGTTTACAGAGGTGAGGGGGCTGACCATACCTCACCTGTACCTCACCGGGAAGCTTGAGCCATGCCACATTGATACCCATAACATTACCCATGCCTTTTCTTTTCCTGTGCAGATACAGTCAGACTTCATGTCCGTTCTCTCAAAACACAGATCCTATAGCTCTGTATCTTTTTATAAACAGCCTTTTCCTTTACTTTTGGCCCCTCTGTATTAAGAATTTTCCATCTAGCTGGGTGTGGTGGTGCACACCTGTAATCCCAGCACTCAGGAGGCTGAGGCAGGAGGATCACTATGATGTCCATCTAGGGGTGTGGTGGTGCACACCTGTAATCCCAGCACTCAGGAGGCTGAGGCAGGAGGATCACTATGAATTCAAGACCAGCCAGGGCTACATAGTGAGTTCCAGGTCAGTCTTACTACATAGTGAGACCCTGTCTCAAAAAAACCAAAAAAAAAAAAGAATTTTTCATCTGAGGCATTCTCCAAATTCTAAAATTATCCTAGTACCCATATCTCTTTGGAGGAGGTGATTTCTGTTGAGCAAAATTTTTTTCAGACTTTAACCATTATTTGTCTTTATAGAAATGTATAGAAATTCGGATGGTTCAGTACCTGCCACATACCAGATCTATCACATGATAGGATGGAAATACCACGATTCTCAGGTAACATTATCAAGGCATCACTTTTCTTAACGGGTTCATGTTTCTGTTTTATTGTTTATTAACTGAGGATGTTTTTCAAAAAAAATACATAACAAGTTTAAGGGTTTAATCTATTTCTAATATGTTTTATCTTTATTATTTTCAGGCAAGACCAGCTGAAAGAGGTTCTGCAACTGTGTCATTTGGAGAGCTAGGGAAACTAAATCTTATGTCACAGGAGAAAAAATCACAATAAATGTTTTGTTTTGTTTTTCACAATAAATTTTTTTTTTCTGTGTAATGTCCACAATTTTCATGACAGATGGGTAGCTTTCAGATAGATATGGTGGCACATGCATGCATGCATGCGCACACACACACACACACACACACACACACACAAACACACACGCACACACCTGTACATAGTTCCTACTAGTTGGGAGCCTGAAATAGGAGGGTCACTAGTTTGGGGCCAGCATGGGCAACTTAATGAGACACTGTCTCAGAAAAAAACATGAATAGTTTTCACACGTAAAATTATATTTTAGAACAAGCAATTTATAAGCTATTTACTAACAGGCTTTTTAAATAATTATAACAAGCTAATATTGCATCTGTATTTAACCATTTCAGGTTCTTGTTGTTTTTATTTTATTTTATTTTATTTTTTGGTTTTTTGAGACAGTGTCTCACTATGTAGTTGAGACTGACCTGGAACTCACTGTGTAGCCCAGGCTGGTCTCCAACTCAGTGTGATCCTCCTGCCTCAACTTCCTGAGTGCTGGTATTATAGGTGTGTGCCACCACGCCCAGCCATGTTGTTTTTATTTTCAATAAAGGTGCTGCTATGTAGTGATTTAGCTGCTGTCTTTTGCAGATTTAGCCTAAAAGCAAAAAAAGTATTTTCCTGAAAATGTACAAATATGTTCCCGTATACAAAGACCTGACTTGATAGGAAAACATTGCTTAATCATGACATTTTGTACTGTTTTCTCCTTCTGGTCTTTTGTTATTTCTGTGGGAGGACACAGCCATGGAGATGAGAGGAGGAACAAATTGGTAGGTTCTAAGAGATCTGGCTTACTTAGAATGAAAACAGACTCAACATGACTGCTATAAGGTACTTAAGCCAGAGTTACTTGTCACAGAGTTATCTTTGTCTTGAAGAGAAACCTTCCCAGAGTGTTTGGTTTTGAACTTTGGTAGAACATGTGTGATTGTTCCTTTTAGAAAAACATCCAAATTCTAGTAATCCTGCTTTTTTACCTTCATGATCTGGTTGGGACCACCATGGTTTTTAAACATCCCACCCTACCCTGTGAAAGAAGAAAACATTTTAAAGAATTACAGAGGCAAAGCCATATGTAAAAGTCTCTTATTATTGTGCTCTTTATTGTTGGGCTATTCTTTGTGATTTCAGAGCCATAGTGCTATCATTCTAATCAGAGTTAACTGTGCTATTGTTATCTAAGGTTCAAAAGTATTTGGAAGCAAGTCAAGTTCAGACAGCTTAGAATTGGTGGGAAGAAGATGGTGATATAACAGAAACAATAAGGAAGCTGGACGCAAACAAGAGTGAGTTCTAAGGCTGTTTTCTCAAGTTAGTGGCAAGCTATTTGCTGTCCTTTCCATTTAACCTGGGTTTGGCCCCAGCCTCCTTGGCATCGGGCAGTTTTTCTATAGTATCTGTTTCCTTCTGTCCTCTCAGTCTTTCTCTCTCCTTCACTACCCTCCCTCTACCTTACTCTGTATAGAGCTTGGTGCTTGGCACATAAAGATATTTGCTTATATTTTTAATGGAATTAAATTATATGAATACCATGCCTTTTGAAAGACAAAGTTAAAAACCCAAGCTTTACAGGAGAGAAATTACTCCTGAGAAAAATCACTGGTAACATGGTAATTTTGATAGCTTTTTTGTTTTTAATGCAAAGTGAAAGATAGTACTTATGAAGTAGAATTTGAAATTTTTTTTTCCTTTTTTTCAGATCATTTTCTTTAGTAATACATATTTGTAAGTACATGTTTACTTTTCTAGTGTAGAGTTGGTACATGTACATAATACATCTTAATTCCTTTTTTCTCTGTGTTCTCAAAAGGACATGAACATATATGCATTAATATTTATTTTTGAAGAATACACATGAAACTGCTTAGTGGTTATTGCTACGGAGCAAGAGGTATGTGTTTGTATGTGTGTGTGTGTTAGTCATTCTATTCCAGTGCTTGTCAGGGGTCCCAGGAATGGCCAGAAATTAGGAAGATTTGTATTTTTCTTATTTTTTTATTTTTCTGCAAATTTGAATTTTTTTAACAAAGATGTTATTTCTGTTTAATGTGACTAGTAAAAGTAATTTTGTAAGTTAATATCTACTTAAAATATTCTATTAATCTCTAATTATTTGGAACCCTCAGGAAATTCATTTCTTTGAATAGTTGTGTTTTCCAAATGATGAAGAGCTCTTCATTTGGAAACAAAACTTTTTTATTGTTGTATTAAGATAAGGTCTTCCTATGTAGTTCAGTCTGGCTTTGAACTCTCCATGATCCTCCTGCCTCAGCCTCCCAATTGCTGGGATTATAGGTTTGAGCTACCATGACCAGCTGAAGCACAACTTTTTAAGAAAGTTTTATCAAAACTTTTTCACACTAGGGGTATATATAGTTTAGTTGTAGAGTACTTGCCTGATTTGTGTGAGGCCCTGGATTCAATCCTCACCACTGGTGGGAAAAAAATTATCATTTCTTAACAAACTTAGTTACTATCATAAACTGAAGTTTGATTTTGTTACTTGTTCCCAAATTAACTGGCCCCCAAAAGTCTCTTTTCTACACTTTTCTAACTTGCTCTCACTTGCCAGTCTTAACAGCCTAACAAAAGTGAACTTCATTAAGTCAGTTCTTGGCCCTTCTGATCTGCTATAAGATTAGTATTCAGATTGTAAGGTCTCTAGAACTCAAGTATACAGTAGGAAAGCAGTAGGCTCTGGAGGACTGTCCTTTGGAGAAAAATTCATGAACATTATTGGTTCCTTGAACAAGTCTTCACTTATTTGCCAGTCACTCACCCAAGTGTTCTTTATTGTCAAGTAGAGCTTCATTGTGTGGACACTGTGACATCTCTTGGCTATGGGGAGACTTTCTGGATTATTTCCTGATTCTTGTCTGTCTGTATTCTAGGTTGTTGGCCTAGACTAGAGAATTCCAGAGTTAGCATTATGTAAAAATTATATTTTTAAAACAAAGATTGTTTACTTTATAGAGGAATTTCTGGAGGAGATGGAAGAGACCCATATATATCTTGTGTATAATGTGATTTTAGGAAGTTACATAAGTATAACTCATGAAGCACCCGTTTTGTTTTTCAAATCCTTTAGTACCGTTTTTATCCACTAGGTGGAAACAACCACATTGTAGATAGTATTGAAGACCTACATTATAGTTTTCACACTTATTATATATCCCTTAAGTAGAAATGGAATGGAAGTGTTTTATTTTGAATTCGCTTCTGGCTAGGAAAGCAATGAATATTAATAGACACATGGAAAAAAGATATTTGATATGAGATTATTATTTTATTCATTCATCAATTTCCATTAGCTTCTTTTGCTTAAAATGAAATGTTTTGAACTTCTTTTGACAGAAGAGAAAATCTTATTGTTGTAGTTAATGTGAAGTTTAGTTTCAGAAAACTTATCATAAGTGGACATACCTTCCAGAAATTCCTGTATTTTAACTTTCTGCTTGGATACGTAGCAGATAAATCTTGCTGGTTTAAAAGCATTAATTTGAAAACAGTGGTGCAGTGAGCCCTGATAAGTTGTTATTAACAGATAAGGAAATAATATTTTGTTACCTGTGGTGGTTTTAAAATCTTTACTTTCAATTTTTATTGGTACATGTTTGCAGTACACAATGATTTATTTATTCTTCGTGAGAGGAGTTGTTACATGTACATAACACATCTTAATTCTTTTTTTCATCTTCTTCCCCTCTTTCTCCCTCCTTTCATCTCTTGGTCCTCTTCCTGTTTGTAAAACATCTATTTTCTATTATTTTTTATTTTGCTCATTATGTTTACGTTCTTTATTCCACTCCCTTTGAGTATGGGGACAGTAGTGACTCCTTTCCAACAAATAGAATGTGGGAGTAATAGTGTATCACTTCCAAAACTCAGTAATAAAAGACATTGCTTCCTCTTTGCTCTATCTTGGGTCACTCACCCTGGGAGAAGCTTCCTCTTGTATGGTAAGACCACTAAGTAGCTCTATGGAGAAGTCCTAGGGATAAGGAAAGACCTCCGGTCAAAAGTCATATGGGGGAGCCATCTTGGAAGCAGATCCTCCAGTCATCACATGGCAAGTTTAGATGACCGACGTCCCAGGTGATATTTGACTGCCTCTTCATGAGAGACCCTGAGCCAAACCCATGGAAAATGAGAAAATAATATTTGTTATTTAAGTCAACACCAACCGAAGTCTCACCTACAGAAAATGAGAAAATAAATTTTTGTTATTTAAGTCACTGTGTTTTAGAATAATATGTTGCACAGAATGGATAACTAATACATTCTTTCTGGGAAAAGTTTGGTGCGCAGCGTATGCTGAGTTGTTACTTTAGGTATAAAACACTCCACTTACTTAAAATTAGGTAAAATGAACATAAACTATTTTAATTCATTAACAGAGAATACCATGTCTTCTCGCCTGAAGGTTTGATTCCATGGGATAAAAACAGTATTTACCTTCACAAGGTATATTTAGTAGGCCTCAAATTTAATTTCCTTGGAGACTACGAGGATCAGTTTTCTAAAAGTGTGAATGTGGCTATTTCCAAAAGAAACCAAGAAATTTGGGAGGTCTCTTAAGAATTCAATGAGCTACAGAGTCAGTGGATTTGGGGTTGCAGATTCAGCAGTTAGCATCTAGAATGTTCTTCATTACTCATCTACATTTTCCATGGAAGATGGCATTTTCTCCATCACCAAGCATTTGGTATTTGAGCAATTTCATAAATTTTGGAAAAAGTTGCCAGGTATTTATCCAGATGAGAAATTCAGCTACAAGTTCATCAGAGCAGGGAACACTTGGGCTTCAGGTGGCAGCACACTAGAGGGACAACTAAAGCAGGGTTGTCTAGTCAAGTTGTCTGTGTGATTTCTTAAGTAGCTGATGAACACTCATGGGTGTCTACAAATGCAGCTTCATTGAACCTATACAAAGGTGGCATGGGTTGGTAAAGCCCATTTTAAAGCTCTGTGTGTTAATGCTCTTGCCAAGCAGCGTGCTAAGCTTTTGATACCCATTTTCAATTTTTTTAAAAATCGTGGCTCCCTATCATTAGATATTAGCACTATTGTCACCATTTTGAGGAAGCAGGCTCTGAGAGATGGTAATTTTTCCAAGGTCACATATATCACCGAGCTAGTATTTTGCTTCAACTGTGTACTAATAGAGCTAGGTCAATTACCAGTTTTAGGGTTGGAAATAATAGCTGAGTAGAATGCTTGCCTAACAGGTATGCCTACCAGGTTTGATCCCCAGCACAGAAAGAGGAAGAAGATTGTTTTGTATCCTGCCTTCTTTTGGAGGAAAAAACTTAGAAGCTTCCAACCTTTCTTTGCAAATCTTTCCATCTTCTATAGAATGTGCCCCAAAGGGCCAAAGGTTTAGGGCTTGGTCCCAGCTTTTGGGAGGTTTTAGAACCTTTAGAAGGTGGAAGCTACTAGAAAGAAGTTAGATCATAGGGGTTGTACTTTGTTTTTTTGGTACTGGGGATCAAACTCAGGACCTTATGCTGGGGAGGCAGGCGGCGGCACCACTGAGCCTAATCCCCAGCCCATAGCAGGTGTACTCTTGAAGGGGATATTCAACCCTGAACCCTTCCTGTTTCTCTGCTTTCTGGCCACGATGAGGTGGTAAACAGCTTCATTTGCCTCTCACTCCCTGCCTTGTGTCGGTGCCATTGTCCAGAGGCAACAAGGCCATGCAACAGTGGACTGAAATCTTGAAAACATGAGCCAATGAAACTTTTCCTCCTTACAGATTTAATTCTGTAGTTATTGTCTGTTATGTCACAGTGATAGAAAGCTCTTTATGCCCAGCTAGCCATATATAAAGATGATTTCAGTCAGTAACTCCAACACATGCTTAGTCCTGTCCCTGAATCTTTGTCTTTGCCTCCAAAGTCTTATAGATGAATCCTTTCCTCTTTAAGGTCTGTATTTCAGATCCAACTCAAGTTCATTTGTTTACTCCAACCATCTTGAGCTTTTTTCCATCTCTTTTAGCACTTATGCATTGTTTTCTGGCCATAAATTTTATGTCTTCTGCTCCTTGAGCTCTGGCACTTCTCTAGCCAGAATTCTGGTAGCCACAGAAAAGCCCAAATGGAGTCACAGTGATCCCTGTGAACACAGAACATAGAAGAGCACTGCCAGGACAGCAGCATGCAGCACACACTGAATTGCAGATTCCCAGGGTCAGCTACGCTGTTGCAATTCCAGGCTAGAATCCTAAGACATTTGGTGATGCCAAGGAAAATGAACAGGGACAATTAAGGCAGAAGTACAGTTGCTGGTACTGGGAGGGCAGAACCTAAATAAGATTAGAAATAAGATGAGAATAAAAATAAGATTAAGAATAAAATTAAGATTAAAACTAAAAATAAGATTAGAACCTCACTATGTGAGGTCAAAGCAGAATGTGCTGCAGATTTCACTGGGCATTAATTACATTACGTGACAGTAGGTTCCAATTCCAGGCAAGGTGTCTGGCTGTATTAGAGACGAGGGTGGCCCTGTTGAGTGGTGGTTTAGATTAGCATGTGTTCTGAAATCAAGCCTTCCCATTACATCTCCTTTCTACAACTAACTGCCTTACCTTTTGTAAATTATTCAAATGCTATGAAATGGGAATCTTTCTTAGAGGCATTAGTATAACACTTCACAAGGAATAAGCGTCTCATTTCTTAGAACCGACCAGACTCATTAGGTCCTTTATGTCTGGTGCAATAACTTAGGTTTACAGAGTGTTAATAGATTTTAACAAAGAAGGTGAGGATTGGAGCAGAGCAGAAAGAGTTCCCGGGGTAAATATGATTGGTAGTGCTGAGTTCAACAGAACTAAATGGATCCTCTTTCTCATAAGATGTCTCCGAAATTAGATTAATTGTAAATCTC